TAAAATCGAAATGTGTAGAAAGTTATATACCCTATATCTGCGATATATATATAAAATTAACACAATAAAACAAGTATGACTCGACACTGCTCGGCTAGAGTGGTTTAATTATCGATTCTTATCGATAATGAGATAAAATATAAGTCATATTAGCTTATATGTATGAAGTTTATATAGTTTTATTGAACTGCGCTTGTTACGCTACTCACAATCCAATAAGCTGCAGCTAATTAAAAACAAATGCTTGTAATATTTCATTTAACTGTATAATAAGCTGAAGCAAATCTAAAACAAGTTAAAGTACTCTAGTCAAACTGCTCGTGTTAATAAAATCTAAATGTGGGTATATGCCAAAGCAAAAGTCTCGAATATATGATATACATATGTACGTTTTTTTACATATCTGAACTGTGTGTTTCGTTCATACTGAAAGAGTATATACATATACTTTATACTTGATGTGATCTGTCTTTCATTAAGAGTATATGTATATCTGCCACGCCTTCTTCAGCTCACACACATTGACACAACAAGTTTTATAAAACCACAATACTCCAATTTTGCCATGTTCAATTTCTAGCTTTATTAATAAAATTCTATAAAATACATGGTATATAAATATATATATGATTCAACGTATTTAATTTTTGTGTAATGTGTAAATCAACATCATACCTCTTTCATACATATATGTGGAACAGGGTATTAACTCTGTTAAACTTTTTTGTCAAGTGAAGTTCGATTTAGCCAAGACAACAACCGCAACGGCAGCTTGCTTTGACTGTACTACGCAATCGATTGGAACGCATGTGAAATAGATTTTGTGGAATGTGGCAGCGACGCAGCGATGAAAAAAAGGGGGGAGGCTGACAGCGAGACTGCCAGCTGGAGTAGGACAACAAAATGTTGTACCAACAACTTGCCACATCAAGATACAGAACTTATGCGCGAGCCAGCAGGCACGCACGCTTCCATAGGTCGAACCCAGCCCCCCAAAATGAAAAACCAGATCCCGAGCTGCCGGTATACGAACACAAACACAGCCGAACGCACACACACACAAGCACACTAAGAGAGTGTGTATACATTTGAAACGTAAATTATGCTCTTGAAAAAAAAAAGCCAAAATTTCGAGGCAGCGGCGCGTCGTCGGAAATGGTATTCCAGCTACGAATTCAGTTGTAAGGCAGCTGCCTGTGGCAACGCACGCGTCGCATTTAGAGAGTACACAGAGCTCGCACGAATAAATCGGAATAAATAAATACACATTGAAATATACATCTGTGGTCCACTTTGACTAAAGATTGGACGCTCTTCATCATGTCTGAGGAAGTGATCGCCAGGGGCAGCATCTTGGGCAGTAAGTGATAAGCAGCAAAGACAAACAACGAAAAGAAAAGTGTTTGGACAAAATGCAAAGACAACTTGTGGCATATGTGAGAGAAGGTTGAATTACGCCAATGCAATAGACGAGTGCATCAGGCAATGCAAGTGCAACAAGTGGCAAGCAGAGATCGAGCACCATGGGGCGTCATGAGTCCTGATGAAAGAATCTCAAATACTTGTGCAATGTGTGTTTGACCTCAAAAGACGCCGAAAGGTCGTGCGTGTGTGTGCGTTTATTTCCGTGTTGATATGTATGTGTGTGTATGTATGTAACTATATATACATATATATATATATGTGTGTATGTGTGGTTGTGCGTGTGTGTTATCCTTTTAGCTCAATATGCGGCGGCTTTTTATAGAAGCAACCAAAATTTTATGAGCCTACCAAACTAAAGAGCAAAGAAAAGAAATTCAATTTATAGATATATAAATATATATGTATACAAATGGATACATCCACTATGTATGTGACTTCCCATTGACAGCTGGCCTGAAGGTCATTTGTATGTCAGCGTTATAAACAATGCCCAAACATTTGCCAATCTATATATTTGCTTCTTGTCTACCCACTTACCTAGGCCAACAAATTAATATGGAAATTGATGTTCGCCGCATTATCTCATCTAGTAGTAGTAGCCGTAATAAAAATGTCAATTTAATCCTGCTGTCATGTCGATAGCAAATAATAATATAATTACTTTTGCCTTATATACATAACATGGTGAAAGTACCCGATGGCTTGATTGCTTTTTGGCTTTCACTAAAGTTTCCTGTTTCATTTAGCCTGTTT